CCTCTTCATTGCAGCTGATCCGTCTATTCATGTGGAATCTCATCTGTCTGATGACATTCCGAATGCCACTCACAGACGTAAGATTACTATACAGTGTATCGTGTCCCAGTTCCATGCCTGAACCTACGATCCCAGGTTCCCCCAAACACCCTGAAGTCATCTATTTCTCCTCTACCCAGTCGGGGTTCTGCAACGAGTTAGCAGGGCACTCTTTCAGATTCGTGACATGTCTTCAAACGTACCTTCTTGAGAATCACCAATCCCTCTAGTGTGCTGTTCAAGCTGATATACTGCTCATCCTCAAGCTCCGCACGCTCGCCGTACGCCAAAACAACCGGCGTGCTCTGTGTTTGCCAGCCGGTGATAGTCTTGGGCCGACCCGCCTGGCCGACAACATCCACTGCCTGACCAACGCGGACGTTGACCTTCAATGGCTTGAGGTCCTCGTCCAACGTCACCAAGAAACGGGGGTGCATAGCCGTCACCAGGAAGTAGAGCAGGTAGTGTGAGTTAGATGTGATGAACGACTTGGCATCAATCATGGCAACTAGCACGGCGAGCAGGCCACCCGTAGACACGCGCGAGAGAACGTTGCGGTCAGTGTGGAAGGGGTTGACCGACATGGTGCCCTTGCCCATGTGCAAAAGACCTTGAGCAATGCGCACCATGAAAAGAGATTCCTGGTCGCGGTGGTAGAAGCTGGCCAGCTGTCTAAGAAGCTGAGCAAGTCTGGCGTTATTCGTACCCGCACCCAAGAGACCCATGGCGAAGATGGCATTGATAGCCACGTCGTTGTCGTTGTCGTGAGAGTATCTGGAAAGCGTGTCGTAGACCTTCATCTGGGGGTTGCTGGGGCTGATCAGACCCATGGCCAGAGGAACTGCTCTCCTGATGTTGGGCTCGCCATAGTGCATAAGATGGCCGAATTGCCGAAGAACCATCTCCTGACCCACATCTTCGCCCATGGCAACGAGTGCGATACCAATCACTGCGTATGACTGAAGGAGCTCGTCGCCCTTCTTCTCGTCCGAATCCTCAATGTGCTCGTTGCAAATGTGGAGCAACTCCTGAATCTTCAGAACAGCACCGGTGCCTGCCCAAGCACAGATCTCAGCCAGCACAGCCGTCGGCTTGGCCATCGGGTGGTCAACAGCCTTGAGGGTCTCAAGGATGACGTCGACCTCTTCCTGACGACCAAAGAAGAGCAGACCGAGACCAAGTGCCAGGAAACGAGTCCACTTGTCTGTAAGCTGGTTCTTGCGGTCGTCGTCCAGCAGTGTTGTGACGATAGCCTCACTAATTTCGGGGTTGGAGGAGCCAACAAAGATCAGACCACAGGCCAGAGCAGCCATGGCGGAAATTTGCATATCCTGGGAAGAGTCGGTGATGATGGGCAGGAGGAGCTCCAAGGTGAAGTCGTTGTTTGAGCCGGCGTAGGAGAGACCCAGGCCCATGATGCTGGCGGTTCGGACAAGAGGATTCTTGTGGTGCAGCTTATCCTCGTCACCCAACAGAGCCAAAGCGGGCTCAGAGTCAACACGTGCTCCAGAGTTCATAATACCAATGGCAAGCATCGAGCCAGCCAAGATCTCGGGTTCCGCGGCGTAGGTGTACTTGTCAATCTTATCCAAGCCAGCCTCAACATCCCACAGCAACAGAGTGCCCAGAGAGGCCACAGTCGACATCATACCGTCGCCTTTGGTTTTCCATACCCAGCTTTCCTTGTCTTGCTCAACCAGCATCATCTTGTCGTTACCGAAGCCGGCGTTTACAAAGGCGTTGACAAAAGCGGCTGCCAGATTGTGGCGAGCTGAATCAAGATTGGTCATGCCAGCAACGCGGCTGCTCTCAAGGTGGCTCTTGTAGATATCTTCTGTAGTCTTGGGGTCCAGAATGTTGAGCTCCTTGCCCAGGGACTTGAAGTGGTCGGACAGCTTAAGGTTCGACAGGCACTCCACGACAGCCTGGGAGTCCGCGTCCTCTGCGGGGAGATCCAAGACAATGCGTTGCCGTGCGATGAGGAAAGCGAGCTGCTTCTTCAATGCGGGGTCTTCGGCCTTCTCGAAGTCTGCCTTGATGAGGTCGACATCGTTCAGGCGAATAGCAAGGGTCATTGCAAGGGCGTACTCCTTGTATGTCAGGTAGATGTCGTGGGCGGTCTTGAGGAAGAGCTCGTTATCGGGATAAGTCAGCAAGTTGACCATGCTGACCATGTAAAGGCACACGCGGCCGTATGTGTCCTTGTCGAGGTGGTTGGGAATCTGATCGATGATCTCGAGCTCGCTCATCAAGTCCACAGCATCTGCCTCGGCGTTGCTCTGCAAGAAGAGCGGGATGAGAATCAAGGCAAGGTCGACCAGGTCCTTTGTCGGCTCGTCGGCATTTATCCTCTTTCCATACACTTCACCAATCTCCAAAGCCAGATGCCGGGTGTACTCGTGGCCCCATGATCCAATGTCGGATGACGGTGCAAGCAGACGGTACTTAAGGGTGTCTTGTCGGTCCTCGTCGGAATACGTCATACCAATTACTGACAAAACATCTGCGAGTGACGTCTTGTTGTCTCCAGTCGGCCAATCCTCGAATAGTTTTGTCATCGTCTCGTAGTGTGGTCTCAGGAACTTCAGCGGTTTAGGCACAGCCGTCATTGACGAGGTTGACGTCTTAATGAAGTTCTTCATTGCCTCAAGGGCCGGCTTGTAGAGAGAGGCATCGGATTCCTAGAGACGACGTTAGCATTATGCACACGGTGCTTGAGTTCCAATCACGAAACGCACCGTGAGGCGCTCGACGAGCATATCCAGCTCGTTCTTCAGCTGTTGGTCCTCTTCGCTGAGCTCCTCCGCAGCTACAAACAGTTAGCCCCTCATTAACTTGACGAGACAACCCATGTCGCTCACAATCGATAATCTTCTCATCACCCTTCTTGCCGTTGACTTGGGACTTCTCCTTCTTGCTATCCTCCACGGCCTTTCCCTTGCCCTTGTCGGCAGCGGTAGGCTTCTCGCTGTCCTGCGCCATCTTGACGTGTGTTTGTGGACTCTGTATGGGTGGGGTACGTCCTCGGGAGTGTGGTCAAGAATCGGCGCGTATATCTGTGCAATTCGTCGAGGAGTGGACGTCGGATCGATGGCGTGCGGTTGAGAGAAGGATAGGGTGGTGGGTGGTTGTGATTCGTGAGGGAGATGGAAGGTGATGGTAGCTTTGTAAAGCTAAGCAACAAGTCGAAGCTCCCCGGTTGCGTACGAGCCTGGCCTGCCTGCCGCACAGACGCACCTGGGCTTGGGGTGTTCAGCCTGCCACGTGACCGCCGGAGTCCATGACCCCGTCCCGGCTTATCTTATCTCGTCTTTGTTATCGATAGCGCACATCCAAACCCCGGCTGCTTTTTTTCCAATGGAGGGGTTCTTGGGCTCCGAATCCAGTACCTTGAGATCTGGAGGAAGAATTTCAACTCTAGACCAATTTTACCAAATACGTATTGCTGCGATCGCACAACTTCCTAGATGCATTTGGATACCAAGGCACTGCGGCACTTGGCCGCCGAGGACTGGAAGGTCCTCGCAGCAGTTTGTCTCCCTCACCCTACCCCTCCATAACCCCTCCAGGCAGCCCACTTACAGGATCTCCAGGTTGAGCAAGGCACCAAGAACCACGAGCTGGTCCCGACGTCACTGATCGAGAAACTATCACGCCTCCGTGGCGGCGCAAGCGGAGTTCACCGTTGCATCTCCAACCTTGCCAAGGTTGGCCTCATCGCCAAGGTCAAGGAAGCCAAGTATGATGGATATCGCCTCACCTACGGCGGTCTTGACTATCTCGCGATGCACCAATACTCGACGCGTAAGGAAGTCTACAGCGTTGGCAGCAGAGTCGGAGTCGGCAAGGAGAGCGATATTGTTATGGTTGCCGACGACAGAGGCGTGCAGTGCATTCTCAAGATCCACAGACTCGGTCGTATCTCCTTCCGGACAGTCAAATCGAACCGCGACTATCTCAAGAATAAGCAGTCAGGATCCTGGATGTATCTTTCGAGGCTCGCCGCAATGAAGGAGTTTGCCTTCATGAAGGCCCTGAAGGATGAAGGATTCCCGGTGCCCGAACCCATCGCTCAGAACCGACACACCATTGTCATGTCCTTCATTGATTCGTTCCCTCTCCGCCAAATATCCAATGTCCCAGACCCTGCGCTGCTCTACTCCGAGCTGATCGATCTGCTTCTCCGCTTAGCTAAGCATGGACTTATCCACGGCGACTACAACGAGTTCAATATCCTCATCAAGGAAGACGTATCCGTCACAACAACGGAAGAAGGGGATGAGGAGACCGTCAAGTTGGTACCAATCGTCATCGACTTCCCCCAAATGGTGTCGATGGATCATGAGAACGCAGAAATGTACTTTGACAGGGATGTCAACTGCATCAAGCGCTTTTTCGAAAAGAGGTTCAAGTTCACCCCTACGACACCAGGACCGTTCTACAAGGACGCAAAGAAGTTGGTTGGCAAGGGCGGTGCCACAAGAATAGATGCAACCTTGACGGCATCTGGATTCACAAAGAAGATGGCTAAGGATCTGGAGAAGGCCATTCAGGAACAGGCCTCTTCCAAGAACGACGAGGGTGAATTCGTGGGCGAAGACGACGACGAAGAGTACGTTTCCGAGGAAGACGACGCAGAGGAGGAAGAGTCAGGCGATGAGGTGCCAGATGCGGAGAATGCAAGCGTACCAACCGCAAATGAAGATGGAAAAGAAGCGCAGACAGGTGGAAGAACAGAGGATGAAGTTGATACCCAAAAATTCTCAAAGTTGACAGTGGCAGACGAGGCCTGAGCCATTGAGGAATCAAACAATAAACACTTTACTACTTCCGGAAATCCTTATGTCGCTTGTCGACACACAATTTCTTACTACGAGCATGGATCTTCTGTGATTGGAAATTTCATGTCATAATTCCCGACTTCATGATTCTGTAGCAAAAAAAAAAAAGGCGTTACACCGTCCCGATTTTGATCTGCCTCCCAAAAACTAAGGTACAAGAACTAATAGCTGGCGCCTTTCATACAGAACGCATCAAGAGTATGAGCTACCTCAGAGCATAATATGTTCCCTGATCAAAACCATACTGCCATGTGTGATGAAACGCAGAAACTCCGAAATCTGCGGAACAAGACGAGGAATGATGCACCCGGAAAATACGCTGACGCTCCTATTCCCTCACAACTCAAATTTACTTTTTCTCCTTCTTGCAAATCGGGGACGACTGGGTGCTGACAATGACGGGCGTGGCCGAGTCAGCGTGGATAGTCACGCCTTCGTCGCTGTCGTCGGACGAGATCTCGGCAACGGTGGTCTCCGCGGGTGATCTGAACAAGCAGGTTAGTCAAGAAGAATGCTCCAATGGCGAGAATGGTCACCGTACTGGGTATTTCCCTGAACAGTGCCCGCCTGGTAGTCATCAGACTTGACCCCCTTGCCCATCCGATCAAGACCGCCAGTCATGGAACGAGGGGCGTAGCTGTTGAGTGTGGTCAGCGGCTGAAATCAGAGATGACATGGGTGACGATTGCTCACCTGTTCGGTGTGGAATGCAGAGCACGCTTCCAGGCCGGCTGATTGTACATGTTGGGCTGGATGCCAACCAGGGGAGTGCCGTAGGCGCCGATGTTGTACTCGTTGGTACGGAACTGGCGGCGCTCGGCAGTGACCCGCTTGAGTTCCTTCTGACCAGCAGTGTCGGCATAGCGAATGTTCATCACCATGCCCTCCTCGCCGATGGGGATGCCGTTGAACTGCTTAATGACGGCATCACAAACATCGCGGGATTCGAAACTGGGTCAATTAGAATACATCGCTCAAGAGTGGTCAGAAGTCACATACCGAGCGAAGCCAACACCACGGCTGTTGCCCATGCTATCACGCAGGATCTTGGACGACATGATGTGGTAGCCTCTGAAGATATCGCCGAGGTCCTGGAGGTGTCAGTCTTAAGCAAATCAATAGCCCGGAATATGTCAAGTGCAAACTCACATTCTCCGTCAGGCTCTTGGGGAGATTGGAGATGTATAGATTGGTTGAACCCTCATCGCCCTCGGCCTTGAGGCGAGAGTTGAAAGATTCCTGCAAAACACGTCAGACAATGGGGGCTGAACACTGGGTAGTTCCAGATCAGAACATACGCGAGCAAAGCCGACCTCGTATCCGAGACGATGGAAGCCCCGGATGCACATCTCCGAGTCGCGGACGTCGAAGAACTTGGCAAAGCCAAACCTGCTTGATCGTCAGCGAGGAATAAAAATGAAACAAACCCGACCCAACAAACCCTTTGCAAGCACCAGTGGACGTGTCAATGATGGCCTTGGACGTCTCCACCTCGCCAAAACGGGAAGCGAAGCGGTACAAGAGCTCATCATCAGTGGTCGGATGAAGACCGCGAATGTAAACATTGCGGTTGCCCGGGATCCTATTCTCCAAACTCTGATCCAGGGTCTTCATCTGGGTGGCAGGGGTGAAGACGGCAGGAACGGCCTTGGGGACAGGAGGGTCCTGCTTGAGGATCTCCTCCAAGTTGCGGTCGACCGGGATCGTGATGACACCGTGCTTGGCAGCAGGTTCAACAAAAATGTTGCCGCCGACAAGCTGCTGGGGAGAAGGCGTGGTGTAGGTTGAACGATCGAGAGCAGCCACGCGGGGGCCCTTGTCATTCTTGCCGGCGCCGCTGTAGAATGGAGTCGTAGGAGCAGATTCGGTGGTCGTGTAAGAACCACCACTGTGACGACGATTCTCAAGACCTGGCACGTCGTTGTGACCGCGGTTGGTGCGGTCCTGGAGAGCCGAGTTGCCACTCACAGCGCGACCGGGGGTGAAGGGAATCATGGGGTAGGGGACGTAGGGACTGAACTGTCCAGGCGCAGCCAAGTAGCCACTCGGTCCGTACGAACCCTGAGAGAGGTGGTCCATACCCAGAGCAGAAGGCAGATGAGGAGCCAGAATGTAGTCCTGGGGAATCATGTACGGATGGCCGGTAGCCATCTGTCCCATACCGCCAACATTGTGGGACATGCCGTTGCCCAAGGTCATGTTCTGAAACTGACCGATAGCACCGTTCAAGGCGTCAACGCTGCCCATCATGTTGGGCATCTGGTTCTCAGGGAACTGGCTGGCGTGATTGCCGGGTCCAGCATAGGCGACGGAGTGCTTGGGATCCATGGTGTGGGTCTGATAAGACATAGTCAAGTCCGAAGTCTTGAGCATTAATCAGTCAGAAGGGTGTCAAGAACTTTCGTCTGTGTCAAGAAGCAGCCGCAAGGCACTGGGGCGAGTGCCATGCTGGGAAGTCGACGCGAAGTCCGCGTTTTGGGAGGACGCGATATCGTACTTACAGGAACGATGTCAGTGGGTTCCAAGGGTTGAAAAGAAGAGTTGGATCGGTATTGCCGCGAATTGGGACTGTGTTATGGTCAGCGAATGAAGTTTACGTAGATAACGATTTGTGATGAATAGTGGTGGGAAATCTTCCTGAATGTGGACAGACTGGCAAAACAGGAGTAAATGGTGAGGAAATCTGCAAGACCGGAATGACCTCCACCAAATTTGGCGCTTGCAATCAAACGGTCACACCGCAATGAGGTGACACTATTGGAGAGGGAAGAATATGATGCTGTCAAAGACAAGCAGGACATGGGGTAGAATTCATGGAGTGTGGCGGTAAAGCCCAAACTTACCTTTGTCGTCTGAATATGAACAGAGGCTTGGAACCAGACTTAGACTCGAACAACGTCAACAATGGGAAATGTTGTTACCAAAGGCTCTGTGAAGAAGCGAGTGATCAGTAAAAAGATGGAGCAAGCTATCGGGAGCAGTCGGAGTCAAAGAGACTGTGTGGTGGGTTGAAGAAGTGTGGTGATGCTGTGGTCAAGAGAAAAGAGAGAAGATGGAGGAAACGAAAGCGGATTTGGGGCATTGGCAGAAGATAAAGGACGAGCAGATGACGAGACGGACCTAAGGATGCTTTGCTTTTCTTTGCCTTCCTCTGCAGCCTAGGCTTGTTGGATCTGTTAAAGGCTGGAAGGAGAGTTTGAAAAGGCGTCTGGTTGTGGGAAAGAGATGATGTGCTTCAGAGGAAGAACAAGACCAGTGACGATGTAATCAGAGAAGGTGAGGGCACCCGGGGGGCCAAGAGGTAACCCCGTCAGTTCGGACCGGGGGGAAAGGCCCGGTGGGTATTAGCTGCCAGTACCAGAAGATGTGCCGTCCTACTTTCCCAATGTTAGCAACTTCCCTGTAGCATAGAGGTAGAACTCATTCCTTCCTTCCAGCTTGGAACATCTTGTCGATAAGGGTTGACGGGGTTCAGGTGCCCTAGGTAGGAAGAAAGGGGACGTACCTGGAAGTGTGACTGGAAAGATGTCCGGTCGTGGGGATAAGCTTCCTTTCCTTCTAAGGTACTTCTTACTGCTTCTTCCTTCTGCTCTGGATGTAAAGACTTCCAAGAAATTGTTGATGAAATTGTTGATCTGACGATGTTCTTCCTTGAATTGAGGAGGGAAATTACACAGCAGAGGGAAACAGTCGACGATGATCTCCAGAGGAACAATTGCCTCGAGCAAGCCGTGATGAAGACCGACAGATGATGTCAGCTTTCTCTTCCTTCGTCAATCGAAAGCCTCGCACAATCGTGAGTGATGCTCCTGCTCTGCGAGATGCGTTTGACCCTGTCTTCTGCAAGAAGACAGTACTGGGTAGCTGCTGGATGAATTGCTGCGAGCGAAGATAGCGAGTTGGCCCCCTTTTTGGATCTGCCAATAGCTTTCCTTCAGCTGCCTGGTTCGCGGCGCCTGGTATCGATCAACCAGAGGTGCTAATACCGTTGAGAAATCTGTCACCAAGGATGCCGTCAATATTTGAGAGATTCTGCAAGTTGTATTAGTATTTCTCAGCAGTGCAAGTTTATGGGGCTGACCAAACCGTGTATCCAGAACTCCAGCCCAAACTGTCCTTTGTATAGTCCAGAACCAACGCCTTCAAGCTGCCACTGGCCGACGATATCGATGTCTACTGGAGAATACACAACGAAGTGACTGCGCTGAACCGGTTCCTCAACGAATGCCTCCAAAGATGAAGCTGCAAGTACCCAAACCGACAAGGAAACTCCGATATCAAAATGCAACCGTCATGCACCATCCGTTTGTCCTAAGAATACCAGGGTAACGATTCAACCACGAAAAAAGGTCGTCGGATAAGAGGAGAATATCTATCTGATTGCCATTTCGAAAGAAAATAGGGGCGATTCTCCGGCGGCTGAGAGGGGATCTCTGCTCGTCTTTATGGAAGCTGCTCTTTCGGTTTCTGTGCAGTCCGCTATCCTTGCCCTGCAGCCAAGCGTGGTTGTCATAGAGTGCTGATCCACTCAACTTGTTTCTTTTCTTCCCACTGATCTCTGAGACAGGGTTAGCGTCGAGAAGGAGAGGCCGTCCCGCCGAGGGTTTAGAAAAAAGTCGGGCTGCCTGATGTCTCTCTTTCTGAAGCGGCCAGTCTGAGGCCTAGCGGGTGACCTGATGTGCCTGAGTCTGAGATCGATCCTAATCATGTAGGTGTGTGTTCGATGGGGGCCAATGGCTGCCAGCAACCGCGACGCACTCAGCACTCACTTTGGCAGACATCCCGATGCCCACCACCCACCACGTCGGAGGTGTATTCTGAGCGTTGACTGGCCAGCCGACTTCTGGAGGTCTCGGTGTCCCAGGATCAAGGATTCAGAGCACGTCTGAGACGAAGCATTCGAGCCAACTTGTCAAACAAGGTGTTGGATTCTAAGCAGAGGATATCTGCAGTTTGGGGGACGGAAGACGGCGGTTCGTCCACAGCCAGCGAAGCGGGACCAGGCTTTCCTTTTTTTTTTTGTTGAGAATCACTCACTTGGAGACGAAACAGAACCTAGCCGGGTTCGGATTAGAAAGTGTGCGACCTGCATCTCACGATAGTCTGTGGCTGGCGTGATCTGGAGTGTTGGCGTGGGCAGCAGTGTTAAGTAACCCGACGTGGCGTGGCGGGTACCTGAGACCAATTTCGATACGCAGGGCATACTGTCGTTGCCATCTCCGAGGTTGTGCGAATTTCCCATCTTCTCTCCGGGTGTGTCTTTCTTTGTGTTCTTGAGAACAGTGCTGACGAACGACTAGCTAGGGAGGCCAGCTGCCGTTGCCCGTTGACGGCATTCCGAGAGATCACAACCCGGTCGAGCCACGAGGCCTTGGTGCTGGCATCAACAACCAACGGTGAACACCCACAGAAGGAGGAAGAAGACTACCTATGGAAATCACATCCAGAAGGCGATATGTGTTTGGCCCAGAACCGAGGACTAACATGCTCGTTCCCTGCTAGTGCCGACGAGGAAAAAGCAAAGTCGTGGGGTGGGTGGGATAAGACCGTGCCGCTTTTTCACGCACATGACGAGACGAACTCGACTCTGAGATTTGCAAGGGACCCTCCTCTGGTTTCTTTTTGTGGCCTCTTGGTGGTTCATACCCATGGCGAGGAACACTCTTTCTGTGAGGTCGCAAAAGAGTTGAGGCTGAAGCTGTGGTGATGAAAGCCTCCACATTTCCGCCGACCTGCTCCTCATCCCGGCTCTCCTGACAATTTCACCCGCGTCGGCTGGTCCAAACTTTCGGACTTGCATAGAGCAACCGCTTCAGCAAGTCAGGCACAGGCCCGGGCGGGTAATGTAAGGTTCAGAACGAAGTGCCTGCCTGCTCTTGTGACTGTCGAGCGGTGTCTGGACTCTGGAGTCGAGGGTCGAGCAGCCATCTTTTCTGCAAAAGAATAGCCGATGTGACTGGATCCTTTGGGATGTCCGTCGTCCAAAGTGGCGGTAAGCAAAGTCCGGGCTGTCAAGGGCAAAGGTTGCAGGTTGGCTGGGGCGGAGATCGGATCTTGCAGCGGCAGACCAGGACCAAAAGGCAAACATCGGCTTGTTGCTGCAGCCTGCAGCAAGCAAGGCGTTACAGGGCGTCTTTGATTCTCGAAAGTCGTTCCCATTTCGCACCAGCCTTTCGGCCCTCACGAATCAAACGATTTCGACTGCGCAGCTTCATTAAAGTAGACTCCCTTGGTGCCCGTTTCAGCCCAGACTATGAGACCCATTGGCGACTGGCACTCACTTCGTGGAAAGACGGCAAATTGGGCTCAGACATGGGCGATGATCTGGAGGAGCGCAGGCCAGTCAGTCACTCACGCCGATTTGAAAGTGCCTTTTTTTGCGCCTTGCTTCGGCCGTCATGCAGGTCATGCCGGCTTGTCATGTCTCGATTCTTTCCTCCACCACCAAGACAAAATCGCGGCTTCTGCCGGACCTCTAAGAACCGGCAAAACGATGATGAGATCTGGTCGCACAAACACTGCAAGATGCTAGGATCAGAGAATATTGATAGGAGATGCAATATCACGTTTCTTTGTGAGGAGATGGAGAGAGAGAATCTGGCCTCAGCCGTTCATATCACACCCTCTTTCTCAAGATTCTGCTGGCGAATGATGCTTCGAGCCCCCAATGTTTGCTCATTCTTTGTTTTTCCTGATCGTGTGAGATACCCGAGACGCCGCTGCCGCCGTTCGGATCGAGAAGTCATCCATGGAGAGCAGCATTGGCATCAGGTGTTGGTCGTCATCGACGCCCTGGCCTTTGACAACGACCTCGTGTGTGGTTGACGGTATCCGTAAAATAAGGCCGTGGGGAGACGGACGGGAGGGGGAGGGAAGCTCGCACTCAGAGAGCAGTTTCTGGCTTAGTGCCATCGTCCCACCCCGGTCACCGAGTCGATCCTCCGCTCGGCAGGCAGTGCTATCCGTATCTTGGAATGTTTGCGGGGTGGGAGTGGGAGTGAGAGGGGGATCGGACCACGTCCCTACCCTTTCCTGGTTCACCACCTCAGTGTCTCTTTCCTCCTTCATTCCGGGTTTGGCTTTTTTTTTTTTTTTTTTTGCCGGATGCCCAAGTTCGTCTAGGGAAACTGGGGGCCAGGGAAGGACAGGGTATTCAATCTGTTGCTCGATATACTGACTGATTGCAAGGTAAGGATTACTCAATTCTCTGCCGCACGGCGGCACGGGAGGACGGCGGCTTGGTGTTTCCCGATCTGTTCAGCTTATCCGATTCAATTATTGATTACTGACCAAAAAGTGACGGGTCCCAAGTTTGTGTCGAGAGGAGTATAATATACATATATATATATATATATATATATATCCCGCTCGAATAGGAAAGGGGAAAGTGGCAACCACCAGAAAGGCAAATCACGCCATGGCGACGGCAAAGTTGCTGCGAGTACCCGTGTCACCAGCATCTCGTCACAGATATCAGATTGCCTCGGTTGGGGAGTGGCCCGGTCTCGTCGGAACCTATTCGTAATTTCCAGGAGAGCAGCTAGGTGGCCAGGCAAACATATATGATCGATGCCCTTTTTTCTCTCTTCTCAATACGTGGACCTGGATGCTCGAGCTCGATTTATCACAGCCGGTCCATCACGGGTGAGTAGGGACTTTGGAAGAG